TTAAATGATACAAAACTGATAAAATTAGTTAACTTAAGCGGAGCGCGGCGCGGCGCCGGCCTTTGGCGCGCGTTCAGACGGCCGCAAGTCTACTCTTTGGTAGTGTTTTACTCGAATTTTTCAGTGGAAGCACACTGTGCAAAAAGACGTTTTCAATGTAAAAAAAAAACTTCAGCTTTCTATCTAGCCTATCAAAAAAAATGTTAAAAATATCTTTTTCGAGCTATAGCATATTTTGTTTTTTTTCAGTGAAAATGAAATTTTTTCGGAAAACTAACCACACCAACGAAAAACTGACTGAAAAATACATCGAAAATGCTATTTGCAACATTTGTTTCAGATAGGAATAAGGCCGAGAAAATGAGCTGAAAACAGTGACTTTTAACGCTCGCGTGGTGGGCCTGGGACGTTTCGCGTGAAATGCCTCATATAACAGCTACTGGGAACAAAAAAATTCGGAGAACTATGTAAATAACGCCATGTACGTACATTACTTCAGCAAGAGTATCTTAGATGTGGAGGTCATTTTTGTACCACAGCAACTTCCACTCTCACACCTGTATCGAATACGGTAAATTTGATGTTCTTAGATCTGTGTATTAGTTCTGCATAGAAAAATTTAAAATATATACTTGTAATATCTTTTTTTAATTACAAATAACTTCTTTTTTCTGTTAGCCATCTTTTCACTGCAACTGTTGCTGTTTTTCCTCTTCTGCTGATCCACTTGGGTACACTGTTTGGTTGAGCCTCGTTACCACTACACAACGCGTCCTTTGAACTTGCAAATCCAGGAAGCCTCTATAGAGGGGTAACTGAGAATGCAGTCGTGGACAGCTAACAAGAGCAGGCATGAGGGTCATAACCCCATACTGTGTTAGGACAATAGGCACAGAGCATCAAGAAAAATGTACACATCCAAAAACTTTTTCAAAGGCAAGGTGAGTAAAACAAGGTAAGATTAAAATAATTGCTGTAAAAAAACTTTCTCAGAAAGAACTTAAGGAGGTTTGGGAGAAAAGTTCGAAATGTAGAATTATGCCAAACAAAAGTATGCTACATTTGAGCATATTAGGAGTGCATATGAATTTTTTAGGTTTTTCACCAGGTAAATTTTAGATAAAAAAATAATAATATATTGTTAGTTTAACACGGTCTCTAATGAGAGAACGAGGTTAGGTTACGTTTTGATTAAAAATTACGGTACATTACCAATGTGTTAAACTAAAAAAAAACGTTTCTATAGATACCTTAGTATAAAAGGAAGATGCTCAAAATAAAAATCACGACTCACCAAGCATTTTTTAAAAATATAACCAATTACAGTCGTACAAATTCAAGTTTGTTGAGTGCAAGAGGAGGTGCGCGGTAAAGGCGATACATCATCTACTCGGACTGGGGGGCTCCCCGTTCCTCGCCTCTTTGAATGACACTCCCAAACCTCTTTAATTTTAAGCTGAGGTAAAGTAAAACATGTTATCTTGGTTTACAGTTATAAGTGACTGAAGTTAAAGTTCACATGGAATGAGTCTCAACATCATTAAAAGTCACGAAAACTTCTATAGCTCATTATTTTCGGCCACAACAGTTTTTTTAACTTCTCAAGGGCTGAGACGAGATCTTTCTGAGAACTAAGAACTGGTTTTTAACAAAATGCTCTAATGTTACTGAGAAATGAGCATCAACGGTCTAACAATAAAACCATATTATTCTTAAGTATCAAGAAAAAAGAGTTGTTGGCTTATATGATCGATACTTACTCCAATTATCATTATCATTAGTATAAATTCGATTGGGAACATGTACGAAATGAGTTTTTAAACTGAAACTTTATTTAAGTATCAAATTTGACTTTATTTTTATATTAATGCTTTTGCCCTCATTAAAAAGCTGTCTTTTGAGGCTGTACACTCACTTACTTTAATTTGATAATGCTGATAGTTATTCTTTTTGTAAACATAAAAAACATGGTTAAATATTGAAGACTCAACTAATGTTACCTTTAGTTACATAAAAAGTTTTCCATATTTTTTCCATCACCTTATACTGACACTGTTTAAGAAAATGCGTGATTCCGTTAATATGGCTGCACAAATTTTAGCATTACGATATATGTACAACTGACAGATTTTTTCTTGATGGTATAATTCCTATGTCTTAACCTATACTTTGGCTTTATTCTAACTCCAAGCTCAAAATGTTGGCCATACTTTGACTCTTTTATCTTTTAATACTTTATAGTTTTATATTTTCTTGTGATAACTACCTAAACTATTGTTATCTAATAATAAATTTTATCGCACGAAAGTAGCTTACTACTAAACAATGACTAGAAGGAATAAAACAGCGGTGCTTATTAAAATTTTTATTCAATAGTTACTACTCAGTTTGTATATATATTCACTATATAATATATATATCAATATATAATATATATTCACTCTTACATGTAATTATCCGAGCTTATATCGTTCTACAGCGATTCGTGTAAGACATTCATATTGACTTGGATCTTGGCCAGTATATATTTTGATATGGGCTAAGAGGTCCCCTCGAGCTGGTAGGCAGGTTTGTGAGTCAGTGACTAGTAAAATCTTAGAGTATACGGGCTCACTTTAACCTATTTAATGAAAACAGATAGACACCCACTTCTCTTAATACCTATTTCTAATAGAACTTAGATTGTGGGAAAAATACTACGAAAATTCTGTATTGTAAGGTAGGTTGACTATCAACCCTGATGAATACTTTAAGTATAGTATTGTACAATATTTTAAAATACAACACGATCATAATTAATAAAATTGGGAGTTTTTGTCTGTTTCCACTCATAATAGTTTGACAAATTATCATCTACAAATAATTACTTCAAATAATTAGTGTTGAGGAAAAATACTACACGATCGTAATCCAACTAAGAATATTTAAAAAATGTATACATGTTATTTTACTCATTCTCTTTTATTATTGTAAGCTTACAGGTGGGTAAGTAATTTTTGGCCTCCTAGACCCAATGTACTCTTTCCCCTTAGAGCACAAAGTAATTAATAAGTGTAAAGAGTGCCTAACCGGTACTTTACGCTCTGAGTAAAAAAAATATCACTTGTAGCTATAGCTGCAGAAGTAAAAGAATCGTGTCCTAGATACAAAATTTAGTATTTTCAACCCATCTTCCTGTCTTTAAACTTTATTTTTAGAAAGTAGCCAGACTGCTGCAAAAAAATGAAGACTTTTCTAGGAGCACTGAAAAAATTTTGTGAGCCTCACAGAAACGTGGGTACGAGAGAAAATATGGAAAAAATGAAAAGCATCTTACCATCCGAGTTTTAATAGATATGTTGTATAGCTACTAAAGACAATAAGAGAAAAAGCGATGGAGGACACAACTTTAGGTATAAAAAAAAACGATGAAATTGAGTAGGGAGAAAGTAGAAGAGTGGAGCAAAGGAAGAGTCCATAAAGAGATCAGGATTAACAAAGAGAACTAAGGGTTTGTTACAGTTAACAATCAGAACGTAAAACAGACTCTTCGAATACTAGAAGAAATGCTAGATTTAGAGGAACGAAGAAATTTGTTTATTTGGGGAGACAAAAATACGAGGACAACTAAAGAAGGAAGTATCTAGAAAGGAAAGGAAGTATACAATAATCTGATTAAGAAGAAAGTCAATGGCAGATGGAAATTTAAAGAGATCATAGATAGCTTAAAGAGAAGATATCTCAAGAAGAAAACTCTAAATGATAGGTGTAAAAAGATACAATGATTGCGATTTAAATTAAAGAAGCGCTAAACACAGGCTAAGGAAGATGCTAGAAAGACACAGCTCAAAAAGAAGTAGAAGAGAGAAAATGAAAGATAGCTGGATCAATGTACAACCCAATTCATAAGAAGATATGGAACGAACAGGAACCAACATATTTGAAGAGCATGATAATGGAGGCTGAAAGATTAATTCGAGCAAACTGCAGATGCAGCAATAAACTACTTGAACGAGTAGGAAGAGAGAGCATGCAGGCTATGCTACATGAAGCATGAAATCTCAAGACTTATTTTATAACACATTCGATAATTTTCCGAACTGACATAAGCTGAAGAAATCCCTACTTAAAATTAGTGCCAGATCGAGGAGTGTCACTTATAACTAATTTAAAATAATAGTGAAAAAAGCTGAAATGTACGAAAAAAAATACAAAACTCACGAGGGATGCATTCAATGAAATATTTTTTAGTATTTTATCGAGGGCATTTACAAAGGAAAGTAAATAGTTTTGTTGGATGATAACCGATGCTTTAGTAATTTTTCTTTAAAAGATCATTTGGTTTATAAGGCATTGTCAACCAGCAGATTCCATGGATTTATGTGTATGTATGTGTGGTATTGCACAAAACTGGCAGTAGTTTTTCTTTTTTAGTTGCTTTTAATTGTGTACGTCAAATGGTTTCGTTGGATGCTTCATTTGCAGGATATAAATTTTTTTGAATGATTTGCCTCTTTTTGCTTAAAAAATAATTCCACAAACATTTTAAATCACATTTTACTGCATGAATTTCAATGAATTTTTAACCTGAAAAATATTTTAAAATATTCCAGCATGCGCGATACCATTATTACCTACATTTACGATCGCACGGAATTGATCATGCCAAGTGTTACAACTTTAATCAGTTCCTATTTTTGAAAAGGAATAACGCAACCAGGACATCCCAATCGCACCCAAACCCTTATTCCTGCTCAGGTATACGTACAACCACTTCAAGTTTTGAGCAGGCGGTTTATAAAGAACATAAAAAACTAAAAAACTAAAAAAAAGATTTTATTGTTATTGATTCTTATAGCATCATAAGATCAGAATACTAATAAGAATATAAATTAAAAATATTTTCTTATGTACGAGTATTCTTTGATTTTTATTTAGTAAGATCTGTTACTAATTTAAGTTTGTACACATTTTTCAGCAACTATTATTTACTAATTATAGTTAAAAAATAAATTACTTACATGTTGATCAAAATACCCTGCATATGCTAAAAATGCCGAAGATAGTAAAACGTCTCCAAGTATTGTTGACATTTGACTTCTAAATGTTTCACTAGTAGATTCCCATCGTTCTCTTTCGATAACTAATGATTTAAGTAGTGCTATTGAACGATCAACTTTTCCTTGGACATTTTCAAGATCAGTTTTTATAGCTTGAGCTTGAGATATAAGTTGAGCATACTCTTCTTTGTAAGCAGCTATACTAAGTTCCAACTGAGAAATTAAGTTTTTGACTTCTTCACCTTTCCGCTTGTTGGTTTCAGCTTGTTGTTCCAGAGAGTAAAGTTCTTCTCTTAGAGGCTCAACACGCTTTAACATATCTGCATATTCAATCTGTTTACAAAAGATAACATCAAGAGTTATTTTTGTTTTAATGTTTCATTTTATTGACTTATACAATTTTTTTTATGAGTTAAATTGCAAACAATTAAAACTATAGTAGACCAATATAGAGAGTAAAGAACTGGAAAAATCAAGAGTGTACTAAGTTTTGTAAATACTATTAATCACTTATCATTGTTCCAAGTATAGTACCTGAAATAACTGTATACCAGGTTTTGAATCGAGGTAAGAGGAACTTAAGTAATGCAAAAAAATTATGGCCAATACATCATTTTATTTACTACCGATGCTGAAACTCTACATGACACCACTTCATAAATCAAAGTTGTGTTTACATCAGCTTAAGCTAAATAATGTGTGTGCGTTAATTATCAACTATGTACATATGTGTAAACAGTTATTTCGTAGAAACCAGCACTCAACCGTTTGAATAAGAGTGACTGCATGAGCCAAGACTACAAAAAGTCCATCAAGTTTAGTCGAATGCATAGGTTTTGATCACAGTTTTTTTCGATTTCAGGGGCGTGGTACATAACAAGTTTTAACAACACGGTAGTACAGTCAAGAAGAAGTATTAAGGAATATTAAAAAGGTAACTTATGTGCAATTCCTGCAATCCACCGGAAACCTCCAGATTCTTCATTGCGGAAATTTTTGAGAAAACAATTATTAAATATTGACAGTTCGACACAGTCTCTTATGACATAACAAGGTTAGGTTACTTTTTAATAGAAATAAGCATATTTCAAATGTGTAAGAATTAATAAGAACTTTTTATAGATACCTTATAACAAAAGGAAAATTCTCGACGAAAAATATCATGCCACGCCAGGCATTTCTAAAAATATAATCAATTACAGTCGTATAGTTTTAAATTTGTAGAAAAAGTGCGTGATAAAGGGGGTACATCTGCACAGACCAAGGGGACTCTCGGTTCCTCGCCTGTCTGAATGATACTCCCTACCTCCTTAATACCATGGCTTGTTCATCATGCGTAAGCAAAAAAAGTTGCATAAACTAAGTAATTAAGAAAATTTGCTTTCTACCAAATAATTATAACTGAATACCTTTAGATATAGTTTTATTTGGCAGGATATTAGTAAAAAGGCCAAAACTTTTAGTACAGAATATATAATATTACATAAGACCTGTGTAAAAATTTTACATCGTAAAGGAGTTTCCATTCATTCTGGTAAGCATATGCCCTTATATTTTAACCGTTAGTTTGGTAAGTCTTATTATACCATTAAAAAATCGTATGTTTTAGTTACTTTGTATCAAGGTACGTGCATTAACGAGTTTTTTGTCAAATAATTGTGAAAATTTTTCAGAGTTTCTAGTACCCTGTATGCAAAGGAAATATTTTTGACACAGCATGTCTACGTAACTGGCCATACAGAATTTACGACACATATTAAATTTTTAAGTTTAATTTTTTTTTTAGAACGAAGTTCTTTATGTCGCGTTACTCGGGGGGCTGGACTTTTAAAACCGACAGATTTTTTTTTTTTGGAAACGAAAGTGGTTTCACCCGAAGTCTCTTCCTTTCAAGTTTTCCCCCTTACCCTGTCCCCATCACCGACTGTTCTCTATACACTCCCCCTCTCCCCACTATATATGTATAACTGCCAACCGTGCCGTGTTACTCTTCTCCACACCTTTATCCACCATTCCCCCTCACACTCCCAAGCAATTATTATTTTCCCACAATAATTTTTGTTTGACTTTGAATTTTTTCTTTTACAATTCTAAAAAAAAGAAAAAAAAAAAAAACATTGACCGTTAAAGAGATTTGAACCCTCGACCTCCTGCATATGAGTACAGTACCTTACCCACTCTGCTACGAGCGCTGCCGGCTATAGAGACTTGGTTTCTTGTACTTATCGTCTGGTTAGTAACTATAATTTTCCATTTTTATATGAATTTACTGATACTACATTTAATTCATGATGAATTGTGTATTTGTTTTCTAAAAAAAAGGAAGTATA